TGCTTAGATTATGTAATATCCTTGTGGCAGGTTAGCCTCTCTGCTTGCCCCTCTGTTCTCAACATAGCACCCAATGTGATCCACCCTTCTTAGGCCACCCTTCTCAAAACCCTGCCGTGGCCATCCATGTTACTCAGATTCCATGGACATGTCAGCATCTCCCTGCTGTCTCGGGTGGGGGAGGGAAGGCAGGAGAGGCAGGCAGGCACAGTCAGTGTGACTTTATGTAAATGCATAGCAATTTCTGTCTGACTTTTTTGCTTTTTCATTTCTCTAAAAGCGTTTCTATATGGTACCAGTCCTTCTTCCACCACTTGCTTTAGTCTTGGTGCCCGTATCATAGGAGGAGGGTCCATGTCGTAAAAGAAGTCAAAAGCAGTCTTGAATAATCGAACACTTCTGAGATTGCCTCGTGTCCATTGGCTTGTGGCACTGCTTCTTCTCTGTCTTCTTCCTCGTCGTCTGGCACTGGTTAGGAAGCGCTCATCTCCATGCAGTCATCTTCTGTTCGCTCCTCTGGTGTGGTGTCTGCTAGCTCTTGAATTTCTCCAAGACCCATATCTTGAAGCCCCACCTTTTTTGTTGTTGTTGTTGTTAACTGTATCCACAATCCCTTTCGTGATTTCCTTGATTGGCTCTGTTGTAAATCCCGTGAAGTCATGCCCAACAAATAGACACAGTTTTCTGTAGCAGGAATTTATTGTTTTTGGCTTGATGGCTTTCACACATTTTTCTAGAACAAGGATGGCATCTTCAGTGGTGTAACCCTTTCAGACTTTCCTAATGTTCTGTCTGTCAGGGATCTGACAGTCCTTTCCGTAGACTACCATGTGTAATGAGCCTTAAAGGTCCTTCTGACCCCCTGATCTAGAGGCTGAATTAGAGATGTTGTGTGGGGGGGCAAGGAGACCACTTTGACGCCTTTGGTGTTGAACTCATGGGGTCTGGATGGCCAGGGGCATTGTCCAATATCAAACGATCTTTAAAAGACAGTCCCTTACCAGCAAGGTACTTCCTGACTTCAGGGACAAAGCATCCATGGAATCAGTCCAGAAAAAGTGTTCTCATTGTCCAGGCCTTCTTTCTGTACAACCAAAAGCCTGGCAGCTGGTTTTTATCTTTTCCCTCCAAGGCTCAGGGGTTAGCAGCTTTATAGAGAAGGGCAGTCGTGATTGTAAACCCTACTGCATTTGCACAGAACGGTAGAGTTAGCCTACCCCTTCCTGCCTTAAATCCTGGTGCTGGCTTCTCTTCCTTACTAATAAATGTCCTTTGAGGCTTTTTTTTGCACCCCAGAATAGAGCAGTTTTGACTACATTAAAAACCCTTTCCGGCAGATATCCTTTCTTAATGATTTTCTTTGCTGGGAATTCCTTTGCTGCCTCTTGGTTGGCAGAAGCTGCTTCTCCTGTTACCTTGACATGTTAAAAACCAAGCCTCTTTCTAAAATCATCAAACCATCCTTTGCTGGCATTACATTCTCGAGCTTTAGATCCTTCACCTTCCTTTTGCTTTAAGTTGTCATATAATGATTTTGCCTTTTGACTCATATTCATCTATAGGTATGCCTTTTTTATAACAATCCTGCACCCACATAAAAGCTGCATTTTCAATATGAGATACAAAGGCGTTTTGCAAAAAGTGCAAGGTTTTCACGCCTGCTCGTGTAGCTGCAGCGACAGCTTCATGAATTTCCTTTTCTTTTTTTTTTAACAATGGTCCTTACACTGGACTCATTTATCTTGAAGTGGCAGCCAACGGCAGCTGCAGATCTGAATCTGTGGTACATATCAAGCCATTCACCCTCTTCTTGTCATGTGATGATTTTTCTCTGCTTCTTGGGAGCACTTACAGCATCACTAATGGCACATCGTGTGGGTCCTGTGGTGTTATTTCAAGGTTCATAGTATTGCACAAACATGATGAAAACTACCAGAGAACTGCCAGAGATTGCCTTTTACTGCAATTTGCAATTGACTGGAGAGATGAACTGCTCACGTGGAGATGATGAGCCTCACGTGGCGTGGCGTTTCAAGCAGATACTTTGCAACACTTGCGCTCAGTGTGGTAGCAACAGGAGATCCTAGGAAATTATTACTGAGATACAGTCGGTACTACGGTTAATTTTGTGCAGTTATGATTTAATACTGCAACTTTACGTTTGTTTACATTTCTCTGCACTGGGAATGGTGCTATGTGTGGTCCTTAAGTGTTTGTGTGAGTACGTTTTGATACATTTTAACTTTTTAAAAATTTATGTGTATTTGGGACTTCCCTGGCGGTCCAGTGGTTAAGACTCCGAGCTCCCAAGGTTCATCCCTGGTCGGGGAAGATCCTGCATGCCGTGTGGCTGGCCAAAAAAAAAAAAAAATTTATGTGTATTTTATGGTAGTAAGTGATAAAATAGACAAGTATCTACATATATTTTATGCATTCGTGATATACCTAAGTTTTTCTTAAATTTTCTGGATATTTCTGTGCTGTGGGGGGCATCTGCTAGTTTTTTCAAATTGTCACAAATCTCCAAAAAATTTTCCTGTGTGTGTGTGTGTATATACATATACACACACACATATATATAAAAATCCACATATATGTGGGCCTGCACAGTTCTAGCCCTTGTTGTTCAAGGGTCAACTGTATGTTGAATTGAATGGAATTACCATTTTATTTAAAATAATGGAAATAATTGAATTTCTATTTCAATTCATGAAATAATTACTATAATAAAAATAAGATTTTTTTGAATGCTTATGTGCTGGGCCTGGTACCAGACCTGTTATTTCATGTGGCTTATTTTGTTGAATTCTTATAACTGTGTGCATGTGAAATTCCTATCTTATAGATTAGGGAATGGGTGTAGAGGGGGTGAGTGGCTTGACCCAGGAGACAGACCAGCCTAGTGGTAGAGCAAGAATTTGGACCTGGTGTGTCTGACTTCCAGTGGTTAGGGCCGGGCCACTGCTCAGTCATTCTGCTTTCTGAGTTTTAGGTTAATTTTGCAGTTCTGATTAAATCTGCCCTTCTACTCATCTCCCAGCGAGATTAAAGTTACTGATTTTTTTTTTTTTAACAAAAAGGAAATTTTATACTTAATGCTGAGTTGTCTTGGTAACACAGACTGCATTACGGATCAAGTTTCATTTAAAACCTTGATTCACTTAAGATATTAGATTTCAATAACTTAAAAAATTATTCATCCCCCAAATACTGACATGAAATACATTCTTAGAATTGCAGTTAGGTAGTCATAAAAGAAGATAAAAGCTGCCACTTTTAGATTGTTCTGAGTTTAGCAGGCATTATGTTGGTTTGATGTCTTGGGTATTTACTTGCCCTTGCTTGTTTCCAAGTAGATTGTGTGTGTGTGCCTGTGTGTGTGCGTAAAATAAAGTCACTTCCCGGAAACTAAAGCACAAGCAAGCAGTGAGAGCTAACTTTATTTTCTCCAGATTTGTTGTTGTTGTTCTTTAAGGTGATAGTGACTGGGATTTAATCATTTTAAGAAACCAGGGTAAAGGTGATGAGAAGAAAAACTCCTTAATGAATGTTTTTTTGTGTGTGCTAGGCCCTCTTCTAAAGCTTTTCCATGCATTATCTCATTTAATTCTAAGAAACATTCTTTGGGCTAAGTACTGCTTACAGTCAAGAAAACTACTTTTCAGAGACGGCTCATAAATGACTGAGAGGGAATATGAACGTGTTTCCTCCTACCTCCAATCTCGGTGAGGAATCTGTATCCTTTAGAGAGAATGTGTTCTTCAAAAAGAAACTAGCGTAATGGATAGAAATATCTGAAGTAAAGGAGATATATTTTTATTTGCCTTTTTAAGCAATTTCCAAGTCTTTCAAACTGTGTGTTAGATTGAGGGACTTTCAAGCATGCTTTCTATTTTTTTTTTTTTTTAATGCATGCTTTCCTACAGTACATCGAGTCTAGAGCAGTGCTGCTTAACCCATCCTGTCCACTCTAATCACATGGGGAGCATTTAAAAAATACGGATGTCTCAGGCTCTCGTCCCTAGAGGTTGCGATTTAATTGGCTTGGGATACTGCCTGGACACTGGGATTTTTTAAAGTTCTTTGGGTTATTTCTCAATGTCTAACTAGGGTCGAGAACCAGTGGTGTGTGGCAGTGTGGCAGTGGATCCCCAAACATATTGGGATCACCTGGGGAGCTTCAAAAAGCTCCTGATGCCCCTGCCCCTCCCCCAAAGATGGTGATTTCATTGGTCTGTGCTGTGGCCTGGAATTTGGAACGTTGACAGTTCCAAGGTGATTCTAGTTGGCATATAAGTTTGGGGGCTTCTGGTTTATGCAGTGGTTTTTCACTTTGGCTGCACATTAGAATCACCTGAGGAACTTTTAAAGCTCCCGTTACTCTGGCTTGCATTCACTCCAGTTAAACAGAATCTTTGGCAGTGGACCTAGGCTGCTGTAGTTTACGATACTCTCCAGGTGATTCCAATATGAAGCCAAAGGTGAGAACTGCAGGCTTCTTTTTCTCTCCTCTCTTCTTTTGGACCGACTGCGTTTCGTTTCTCAATTCAAAATACCTGAGGAATGAAGGCGGCAATGATTGGTATAGGAGAGGCTTTCCTTATGCAGCTATATACTGAGTTCATTGTCTTAGACCAACATGAAAGAATGCAGAGCTAAGCAGATTATGGAAAGTAATACATTCTGTGTTCCAAATAATTAGCTAATAACAAAGTTAGTTTTGCCTGCTTGTATTGATGTAGTTTAATTAATACTAAAAGGAAGGATGAGATTGCTGATATAATAATTCTAGGTTTTTTTTTTCTGGTTTAATAATGTTAGGGTTGCCCCCCGCCCCCAGGCTCTTGTTTTGTAGTATTTGGTTGGTATCAAAAGTAATTTTGCCCTCTAAAATCAAAGAACCATTAAGAAAAATTTTTAAATTTTTAATTAAGAAAAATAAAAGTGATGTCCTCTATCTGTGCCTTATTGAGCTTGTTCCTTTCCACCATGTTCTCCAGGAGTGCCAGGTGTCAGAGAGGAACGCTTTGAGGAAGGAATGACAGTAAAGCACTGTGCATTATCCCTTGTGGGAGAACCCATCATGTACCCAGAAATCAACAGGTTTTTGAAGCTACTCCACGAGCGAAAAATCTCCAGTTTCCTGGTCACAAATGCACAGTTCCCTGCGGAAATCAGGTGAGTGGTCCAGCTTGTTAAGATACTGCTGCTTGACTCTGTGTTTGACTGAAAAGTAAAACTAACAGGCATTAATATATTCAGAAAGGACTTACTGATTACTAAGTACATACAAATGTTGGCTTTGAGGGGACAGAGCTCCTGCTTTTAAAAATCCATTCTATCGGGGAAGATAACATTAGTTTAAGAAATAGAGGCACAAATAAATTGCTGGGGGAATTCAAAAGAGAAAGCAGTTTTTTTTTTAGATGAGAGAAGCAGGGTAAAACTTCTCAGAAAAGGCTTCATTAAATTTGGATCTTAAAGTATGGCTGGGATGGGTACTTGGGGAGATAGGAAACTGTGGATTTTTAATAAGAACTGTCCGAGAAAGTTACAGAGTTGGGGTATTTGGGATACCATTATGTAAATATAGTTGATTAGGACCACAGAGTGTGCGAAAGAGACTGGCAGCTGGAACCCAGGTTGGAAAGGTTGGGACAAGGTTGCAGATGACTTCAAATGCTGTTCTTTAGAAAGAGCTTGCTTTCTGCAGAGTAGTCTGCCAGCACGGTATAAAGTGGGTGAGCCAAGAAGCAGGAAACTGGATAGCAGATTATACGTTTGTCTAGGTAAGAGTTAAAAGGATGAAAGTAAGACAGAATGAGGAGTCTTAAAAAAGGTATCACTGAGGCATGATAAGTTTGGCATACTGTTTGTATGGCTCTGTGAGCCCTGCACAGAAGAGGACTTAACTGGTGACTCGGAAAGTTCCAGCCATGTTGATTGCTAGGACTGTGGGGCCCTGTAACAGTCGGGGGATCGTGTGAGGAAGAAGCGGGTTTAGGAGGTAAGATGATGCGGTTGGTTTGGAGGACTTGGAGGGCTCTCCAGGTAGAGATGACCATCTCCTGGGACCTGGAAATGACCTGATTTTGCATTATACTTGAACTATACACATATTACAGTACCAAAAACATTAACTTTTACTTGGTTGTTATTTACTTGTGCCTTCTTCATTAGACTGTGAGTCCCTGGGTCAGTGACCCCTGCTTATTTATCTTTATGCCACTAGTATAATTCCTGGCACACTGTAGGTGCTTGGTTTAGAATTTAGCATCATAGGAAATCAAAGAGTTGATTAAAATTATTAGTTACCAGGCAGTAAAGTGAAAATCAGTAACATTGTCACAAAGATAGCTAAAATATTACTTTTTGAAGTTGTATAAAAAGTTAAAAGGGAAAGGTTTTAAAAAAGTCAGTGTGTACATTTTGCATAGGGTTACTATTCCTTTTTTTAAATTTTTATGTTAAGATCTTTGACTTTTCAAATGGCTCATGAGGGCGGGGTTCAGATAGAGTGGTGTTGGGATACACACACACACACACACACACACACACACACACACACACACACACACACACACACACACAGAAAAAAGGAGTCTATCCCAAATTTAAGACATGCAGTCGTCCCTGGTATCTGAGGAGGACTGGTTCCAGGACTCCCTGCAAATACCAAACCCCACTGATGCTCAAGTTCCTTTTATAAAATGGTATAGTGTTTACATATAACCCACGCATATCCTCTCATACACTTTAAATCATCTCTAAATTATTTATAATAATACCCGATACATTGTAAATGCTCTGTAAATAGCTGCTGGCACATGGCAGATTCAAGGTTTGCCTTGGGGAACTTTTTGGAATTTTTTTTCCCTAGAATATTTTTGATTTGTAGTTGGTTGAATCCGTGGATGTGGAACCCTCAGATACAGAGGGCCTACTGTAATGCCTAAAAAGAATTGAATGTTCCAGGAGTGGCATGTAAGCTAATAACCAGAGAGGGTGATTCATTGTTTGATAATACGTGGTATTCTTTGTGAATGCCATCATGGATTGAGGAAAATGATAGAGAATTAAATAAGATATGTACTTGAAAGTGGTCCAAGAGAAAATGGAAAGACAAATTTCCTAGGTGCAGATAATATTGTTTTATTTCCGTGAATTAGGAGGACTCTAAATACCAATTGTCTCTGGTGTCCTACAGAAAAACAAGGCTGTAGATTTACTAATATAGCACGGAGATCGTGAATTTTGGAAGTTAACCTCTAATGTTGATGCACTTTGCTCATTCAAATCAGCTGTTAGATGAACCTCTTGCAACCATTTTATCTTTGAGCATACACTAGGAAGTAATAATGTTCTCTGGGTGGTTGGCTGTGTACTAATTATTTTTTTTAATAACAAATTTCTAAATTACTACAGTGCCTAACCCATACTCTTGGTATCTTTTGAAGAAGATCCTGACTTTGTCAACTAGCCTTCCCTTGACCGACATGCAAGCATTACATTCAGGCTAGTGGCCTTTTCAGGATGCTTAACTTTGCTTTAAAAGGATCTCAGTCTCCCCTCCAGCTCTAAAGCATATGGCTCTTTGCTGACAGTTCACTGAAGGGAGTTTTCACAGTGAGTGGTCCTCGAGGATTTGTTGAAGATAGAAGCAGACACCTTAGGCAAATGAGAAAGCTTTTGCATTCTAGGTAGCTTTATGTTTTTGTTTGTTGACGTAGAGGCTAATTAATAAAAGTGACAAGAATGTGTAAGGCACTTAATGATAGATCTGGTGGTGATTGCACACAAAAAAACCCCTTTCTCTTGACAAAAAGCCTTCTTAGTTCCACAAAAGCAAGTGCCTTTATAATGGTATTTTTTAAAATTTAATTAATTAATTTTATTTTTGGCTGTGTTGGGTCTTCGTTGCTGCGTGCAGGCTTTCTCTAGTTGTGGCGAGTGGGAGCTACTCTTTGTTGTGGTGCGCGGGCTTCTTGTTGCGGTGGCTTCTCTTGCTGTGGAGTGTGGGCTTCAGCAGTTGTGGCACACAGGCTCGCGGGCTCTAGAGCTCAGGCTCAGTAGCTGTGGCGCACGGGCTTAGTTGCTCCGCGGCATGTGGGATCTTCCCAGACCAGGGCTCAAACCCGTGTCCCCAGCATTGGCAGGCTGATTCTTAACCACTGCGCCACCAGGGAAGCCCCTGTAATGGTATTTTTGATCGGCGTAAAACTGATATATGATACACTGTAGCATGTATCAGTTATCTTTTGCTGTAACCACTTGCCTTAAAACTGAGTCAGTCAAACTAGCAACGATTCATTTAGCTTGTAATTCTGTGAATCGGCTGGGAGGTCTTTTCATCTTGGCTGGCTTTGCTGGTCTCAGTGTTGTTCATGTGTCTAGTCAGTTGGCAGATATGCTGGGATGGCTGGTTTATGATGGCCTTGCCTGGGACAACTGGGACCTCTATTCGTGTAGCCTCTTATCCTCCAGCAAGTCTGAAGTTGACCACGTGGTGGCAGGGTTTCAGTGAACAGCAAGAAAGGATAAACTGCAACACACAGGCATCGTTCAAGCCTCTGCTTGTGTCACGTTTGCTCACTTCTCCTTGGCTAAAGCAAGTCACGTGGCCAAGCTTGGAGTCAGTGAGGGGCACTCAAAGCTACATTGCAAAGGGTCATGGGTACAAGGAGAGGGAGAGTTTATGGCCATGTTTGTACTCTACCGAATAGCACAGCAGGCTGTGCTTTGTACAAGGAGGATAACCTTGAACGTACCAGGACTCGGTCTTTTTCAGGAACTTAATTAATCATGTGGGAAAGCTTGGAGAGTTCTTGAGACCAGAAGTCTCAAACTGGCAGTTGATAAGGAGTAGGTTTTATTTGTCCTGTAGCATGTTTAGAAACTTTTTTTTTCTTTTTTTAGCCAACATTTAAAATCCAGAAATTTTTCATAAAAGAGATTTCTGACTTTGGAGAAAAAGACAATCTGGCAAAAATTGTGAAGAGCCAAGTATGAAGTGCTGTTTTTACAACACCAGAACACTTCACTCTTATCTGTTTTTTTACTCACAACACTTCTAACACCGGATGTGTGTTTTTTTCCCCACACCAAGCAGTCCTCTAATTCTCTGCAGGCACCAGCTAGGTGTCCTGCAGTTCAGTTCCATTCTGACACTGTCTCCCTGGAGTTAGCACAGACCTCACAGGGTCAGGACTCAGTCCCAGGCTGCCCCCTGCTTCAGACACCAGTCACAGTCCCGGGCTGCCACCTGTACTTCTGATGAACCGACGGTACATTGGGGTGTCGCACAACCCCTCCTTGGGTTTGGTAATTTGCTAGAACAGTTCACAGAGCTTGGGGAAAACAATTCAGTTACTGTTACTAGTTTATTATAAAGACTACAACTCTCAAACATCTGGATAGAAGGGTTGCATGTGACAAGATGTGGGGAAAAGGGCCCTGGGCTTCCCCACCCTCTCCAGACGCATCACCCTCCCAGCACCCAGTGTGTTCACCATCCCGGAAGCTCTCTGAAGCCGTCATTTGGGAGGGTTTTATGGAGGTTTCATTAGATAGGCAGGATTGATGAAATCATTGTGATTGGTCATTGGTGATTAGCTCAACCTCTAGCCCATCTCCCTTTCCTAGAAGTTGCAGGGGGAACTGAAAGTGCCAACCCTCTAATCACGTGGTCGGTTCTTCGGGCACCAGCCCCTCTCTGGAATGTGTCCATGGGCGCATCAGGAGTTACCCCATTAATATAAATTCTTGTATGGTTGAAAGGGGCTTATTATAGATAACAAAAGGCACTTCTCACCTCTGTCACTCGGGAAATACCAAGAGTTTTAGGAGCTCTGTGCCAGGAACTAGGGACAAAGACTGCATGTGTGTTCCTTATTGTCTGACAATATCACAGCAAGGAATGGCTGTCTTTTCTGTAAAGCCTCTGCTTTTCAGTTTGCCATGCTCTCCACCATTTTACTGTCTCCTCAGCCCTGAGGCTGAGTCTCATCTGCCACCTGTCAGAGGGATCGCACTGTAGATTCTCTTACAGCAGAGAAATTTCTGTCGCCATTTCTAACAGACATGAAACAACGAAAGGGAGACAGAGTACCACATACAAGAAAAATGGGAAGCATCTTGCTTTGAGTAAGGAAAGAATATTCTTGAATGTTTCACATGTA